CTGGGGCAAGGGCTGGATCATCTGTGTCACCCCCCTCTGCTTGTGAGAGAGCAACATTGACCGCCTCAGTTGCCAAGAGCAAACTCAGCTCAGTAGCTAAGTTAAAACATCCAAAAAGAAAAGAAAAATGCACCTGAAACCCTGGAAGAGCTGCAGCTCCCAGGCGTGGGGCTGGTTGTCCCCAGGGCTCAGCCACGTGCCATCATGTCCCTGTGAAGCACTCGCGGCCTGCGGCACCCCTCTTCTCCAGGATTCACCCCTGTCGTAAATCAGTCAGATTCAGCCAGCAGTGAATCAGCCTTGTGGCTTTGACAAACGATACTGTGATGTATGAGCATCTTTTTTGGTGTGTAGTAAATTACATCAGGGATCATAGACCAATCCTCAGTTCTATCATAAACCCAGCCAAAAGCAGCTATAAGCGTATTACATGGCATTTTCCTTTTCCTTTTTTTTTTTTTTCTTTCTCTTTTTTTAATGAATCATGGCTTGACATCCTTTCACACAATGTTTAATTTTCCTAGTGGCCCATAACTGCTTTTGAAGCTTAACACTTTGCTACTCTGGTGGAAAAGACACATTTCCACACTCAGTCAGGGAATACATACTTTGGAGATAGCGTAATCTAAAATCCTTCCACTGCAAAAATCAGAATGACAACCTGGGGAATGCATGAGAACCTCACTGGATGGTTTTTAAGCAGTGCCAAAGCAATTTCTGTGCTAACACTGCCCCCTCTTGCATGCAGGGTCCAGGCCCAGCTCCCAGGAAAGCGCAGCCTTAAAAACAGCAGATGCAGTTTTCAGCACTGTTTGCATTACTTCCTTCTCTTTGGCTTTTGTTGCAATGCAGCTCATTAAGGTGATAATTCGCTTATATTAAGAATTAAATCTAAATTCCTCTCTTTTATAGCATATATACTATGTCGATCTTTATGTTTCTTGGGGAGATAAGTAGGCTTTATATTTTGTTGTTACTTCTGTCAGCAAACACCTTAAAGGAAAAATGAAGCGGAAAGGGGAAATGAAAAAAAGAGGCAAGGGGCACAAGGAGAGGAAAAAAAAAAAAAAAAAAAAAAAAAAAAGTGATTCCTCTCTGTACTTCTCTGGACCAAGAGTCTTGCAGATCACAGATTTCAGGCCAAAAAAGAGAAATTCCTTTTCATCTTATTGATACTTCACATGCAACCTTATAATCAACCTAACACAAACTTTAGATGCTTGGTTTATTCGATAGTACCTTCTTTAGGACTCAACAAAAGTTGCTTCTAACCTCCCAGTTACCAGCAGCTTTAGAAGCAGCACGTAGCACATAGGTTCAGAAGCAGTTTAGGACCATAAAGTTATAGGCGCATCATATTATGTAAAGACTTAGCTGCCTTTTTTTTTTTTTTTTTTGTTTTTAAGGGGGTCTCTTTTTTTTTTTCCCCTTTTTTTTCCATTTTTTTTCTTTTTTTTTTTTTGCCCCATTTATATTGGGAGGGTCTTTGTTTTTTAAAACTAATCAGATGGGAGATATAAAAGTCTTACCACATTATTTTTAGATGGAAATTGCTTCTTGTGGTTTGGTTTCCCCTCCATTTGACCTGCATCCGTTTCCTTGCTCTAATTTGGAGCTGTTCTCTTATCAGCATGCTGCCTTGATTCTGCAACTTCCTATTCTGTGACATTCCTTGACTTCTCTTTATCAATTCCACCAGCTATTTCTCCCACCAGTTATTAACATTCATATTCATGCAACTGTTAGACATTAATAGTCAAGCACTTACACCATGCAGTTCTAGAACACATTCCCCTGAGCAAAGATTTGATTTTCATTACCACCATTGGCATTTCCAATGACGTATTAAAAAAAGAGCATGAGGTCATGAAAACCACTTGCTTTTCCTTTTCCCAAACACCCTCCTATTGTTCAGTCCCTGCTCTCCTGTCATCAGCTCCGCAGCTTTCTCAAAGTTGTTCTCATTAATAAAACTAAGTAGTACGTGCAGATTATTAATAAAACAAATAAGTATATGGTGGACATAAAGGCTGTTCTTAGGATTTTCTATGAAAGGACCCAAGAAAACATTTTTTAAGCTTCCCTTAGTGAATTAAAAATTTTTAGACAACAGCTAACTGTAACAAAAGGTACTTTAAAACAACCATCCTCCTCCATGAACTTGGCAGAAAGCCAATCTTGCTTAAGACAAAGGTTAGGGGTAGCTGACTTTTTTTTTCTTATAATTTTTCTTTCTAGAAATTGGGATTACATATGTTTTTTTTTTTTTTTAAAAAAAGAAAAATAGCACACGAATTATGCATTCTATACCTCACTGTCCCTAGGGTTTCATTAAGTGACTGCATCTCCAGTACAGCTAGAAATGAAAAATTTAGAGATGACACAGATGGAAATGTCATTAACAAAACTAGAAAAATCCACCTGCAAATATCACCCCTTAAAGATTATATATAACAGCTTTACCTACCTCAGATGGAATTGAATAACAGACACTGTGCTGAAAATCTTCTAATGCCTTCCAAAGCCTGGATTTATGGAGAGGGGAATTACAGAATCATTAAGGTTGGAAGGGACCTCTAGAGGTCATCAGGTCCAACCTCCCTGCACACGCAGGGACACCTAAAGCACGTGGCACAGGGTGGCGTCCAGGCGGGTTTGGAAGATCTGCAGAGAAGGGGACTCCACAACCTCTCTGGGCAGCCTGTTCCAGGGCTCTGTCACCTTCACAGTTGAGTAGTTCTTCCTCATATGGAGCTTAAACTTCCTATGTTTCACCCTGCACCCGTTACCGCTTGTCCTGTCACCAGCCACCACGGAGAAGAGCCTGGCCCCATCCTCCATCCTCCCTACAATCACCCCTCAGGTATTTGAACATGTTGATCAAATCTCCTCTCAGTCTTCTCTTCTCCAGACTAAACAGGCTCAGTTTGCTTAGTCTTTCCTCATATGATAGATGTTCCAGTCCTTTAATCATCGTTGTCATTCTAAAACAATGGAATAATGGTCTAAAAAAATGAAAAGTAGAGAGTTCTAGAGACTGGTGATTTCCTAAACATGGATGGGGTTATGGGTTCTCTCAAAACGAAGCAACACTGCTTGAAGAATGGTTTCTGCATATAGCACAATCATTCTCAGAAATGAGCTAGCTTGTGTGACTAGCTCATAGCTGTTTCCAGAAGTCTTTGAAGAATTTAAGGAGGAAGCATTCTTGAATTTAAATATAATTAGAAAAAAAGGAAAAAACAGAGATGAAGGTGATAAGATAGTGTTTGGTTAACTAAAGAGTTGCCTTCCCATTTAATACTTTCAAGTTCTTAAGGGATCAGATAATGAAAAATTTTTTAAAACAGAAGTTTGGAGGAATATGAACAAGAGCTGTACAACAAACATTTAACTATCCAGTTACTCAGCTAACAAAGTTTCTCTAGCAAAATGGTCTCTCTCTCCTGAGATTGGGGGATTTCTTTCATGTTCCTTCTTACCATAATTCTGGGAAATGTGGAAGTCTCAGCTTAAACTCCTTGCATCTTAATTAGTGAATACTGTAGCTGTATTCAGGTGCTCAGTTGCTTTGCCTTGTTGTCCTTCTTTTCTAATTTTTCTAAATACATGAGGCATAAACTGTAGCAAACTAATCAGTAGGCTCAAGCAGCATGAAACCCAAAAGTTTAAATAGACAACAGCATAATTTTTACAACTTCATTTTTGAGTTTTTCTGTCTTTAAGAAGCAACTTTTAAGCCAAGACATCTTTGTTTTGATAACACTTTACAGAATTGTTAAAACTTGAGACTGTAATTCTCCTTAAGTTACAGAAATTATAACCAGGCATTTTTTGCCTACCCATCTTGATGTGAACCTGATCATTCCTGACTGCTTAGATCCCCATATTCTTCTTTTACTCTTTACAGGCATGTATGTGAATGGTTGTGCCTTCTTTTTTTATTCAAGATAGTTGGTTTGATGGCACCTGTAGGGCTTATGCTAAATATTTAAACATAGCAAAATATGAACAATGAGATTTTGTGTTATATGAAGTAATGAGAAAAAAAAAAGTTAATGTGCCATTAGCCCAAGTTATTTAGATATCTTCAAAAACAACAACAAACAAAACAGGAAAAAATCTTATAGAATACATATGTTAGAGTAATTCTAGTGTCTATGGAAACTGCAGCTATTGAATGTGCTGGAGGTTAGGACTTCAGAGCTTCAGGTAAGGCTGAAAAGGCATACCCACTATGGTCATACATTTTCTAAGTGAACACTTAGATTAAAAAAAATACTGACAGGTTTAGCCATATGAATCCATGCAGGTCTACTTATAGGCATGTTAGTTACGTTTCTGTCATTATGACATCTATTCCTAGTAGAACTAATCAATCCTTGACAATAATTTTGACTTCAATAAGACTCCAGTACCACCAATTTCCAATACCACATTAAAAACAATTTGATAAAACATAACACTTTCCAAATAACAACAATTGAATTCCCTAGAAACGGTGCTGATTAATAAAAATGCACCTTCAGGAATTCCTATTCTGCAGGCCGTATTCTGCAGTGGCTGTAGCAGCAGACACTAAACGAGGCATAACATAATTTAAGACTTTCATAACAGCACAGACTGCTGTTTCTAATTCCTGAGAGCACCAAAAGGAGTCCACAGCAGCAATGAGGGGGCACAGGGAGGGCAGAGGAGGAAGGGGGTACATATAATTTCGTAAGACATTGTAGATGCTTGTGAACACAAAGGCAAAAATACTAAAGAAAGAGCCACCAGAAAAATCAAGACTTCTTCATTAGGCTGACTACTTATATTAATATTGAACAAAGTTATGTTAATTCTTAAGAGGAGAATACTTCCATAAAAGCGCCCAAGACTACTATGTGGAAAAAAGTTTATAGATTTCTGTAATTTACAATATTGATCTATACAGACAAAGGGTTCCGATGCGGATATTGTGAGATTACAAAAAAGAAGCTAGACTACACAGCAGTTAGAACAAGATCCATGCTTCTCACATTCTCGCTCGAGTTCTGTAATCCACTGGAAAGTCAGGCAACTTATTTTCTTCTTCTTTTTAAACAAAAAGTTCTAGATTTCATTACCAAACTCCTGTTCGCTGTTTATTATCTGCACCATGCTCAAAAAACATGAAATCCTGAGGAGGAAACAAAAAGCAAAGTCAGTGCATCTCACAGTTAGAGCTCTGCTTGTTGTCTTGCAGGGCACTTTTTCTTCAAAAACCTTATACCTTAAGAGGGAGGTGAGGATCCCCCTTCCCACCCTCCATCAGTTGGGTCTCACCTATGAGCCACAGGACATCCATGGAGACAGAGGCAACAAAACACCCACATGGAAACCTCACGTCCCAGCTAGCAGAAGCTGGGCTCATTTTGTTAGCATTCCTGTCCTGCCTGCGTCTGACCTGTCTCAGTCCCTCTTGGCTACTGCAGATCTGAGCTCCTCTGGTTTCACCAGCCACATAAATGTGCTTGCCTCTATTACCGAGTCATTAAGGAGTCTTTCTCCCCCTAATGAGGTTTCTCAACCTCATCAAACACAAACCTACTCTTAAATATCCTTAGCATTTAATGCAGTATTTGATGAATAAAGTTAATAATCTGATTTTTTTTTTTTGCAGTCCTTACAAGGCTTTCCACACAAACTTAACAATAGGCTCTCATTCACTTCAAGGAGGCCAGGCTTGCATCTTTTAGCAGCACAACTTGAACACAGAGTTGAAGAAAACAGTTCATGTTCCAATGAATTACAGACTTACGATAAGGAAGCAAGCACCAATCATGACTGCTTTCATTTTTACATCAAGGTCCATTGGGAATGTGATGCCAAAATTGTCTGCATCTGTAAATGCTTCTTTCACAAAACCAGTCCACTGCTTAGAAATTCTCCCAACAGGTGAAGTTTCATCAAGGGACTTCACCTAGTTTAAAATAAAATGAAACTTTCAGTCTGTCCTTCATAATATTACTTTCTGTAATAATCCATTTGAAAGATCAAAGTTGTGTTATTTCAATTAAAGCATTCTTATGAGGCATAGACATACTCCTAAACCATAATCCAAATGTATAGTTCAATGCTTTAATGGCGTTGGAAGACAGTAGCCACACATATGGGCACATACACACTCAACTGCAAGCATTGTTTTTTAGCCAATATAATAGATTACATTTCTTTATGCCATGTGTCAGGAATTGTTTAAGTGAGAATTAAATTACATTTTACTACTCCAATGCAGAGATTAGTGCTTTGTCTACATTATGTTACTCAAATCCAGTGCTCTGAGCAAGGTAAAAACTCTACATAATCTGCTAGTAAATAAAATGCTATTAAATGCACTTTAGCAAGTGTTTTCAACATTTAAAATATAAAGTGTTAGAGTGATGTGCCTGACAGTTAATATAGTATCATTTGCATACACATTAATCACCACGATTTCTAAACAAAGCCAAGTAATGTAACTCTAAATCACTGAAATTTATGTTTTAGGTCTTGCTAACATTGGTTTATGCGTTCATTGAAAGACTTCTAAACAATTGACACAGTGGTTGTAGGAAGTTATTTTAAAAAGCATGTGGTACAGCAGAGATTAACATTTTGTTGTTGTTAGGGACTAACACTCAGAAAAGATTTTGCTACTACCTATGCCAATTAAGACGTTTGTGTGCAGTCACAGGGGATCATTCTCACTGATGAATGGATTCAAGCTGTCATTCTGGACATTTGACTTGTTTATCTAGAGTAATCTAGCTAAGAAGTGGATTATTTTAGCATTAAAGGATTATATGTGCTACTTAATATGTGCTACAGTTCAGCTGACAGGTAATAAGTGGAGCAGCTAGTTGCAAATATCAAACTACCATCTGAAAGAATGTAAGTACAAACAATTTCTAGCATCACATACCTCAAAATTAATATCCTCACAACAGCTGCAGACAACACATGGGCCAATAATTTTCAGTATATCTGTTCTTTTTTCATCTTGAATGGTAAACTTGGGCAGGCAGGGATGCCAGTTCTGGACAACATAACCCACTGGTGTTCCTGGTGGAGCCTGAACTTCCAGCTTCACAAAGCAAAGAACAAACCCACATAAACCAGTTCACACCTTGAAACACTTGTTAGGCAAAAAACACTCTCATACACCAACCGCATGCAACTTCTTTTCCACAGCAACCAACCACATAGCTGTATGGGATTTTTCATGAATTTCTTCAGAAAACTACACACAAGTTACAAGTTTAAGAAGCAATTTTTGACTTTAGAATGATTTCAGGAATCGCATCACACCACAGTTACTAATATTTTGAAAAAAATCTTTAGCATATGTCAAATTTGCTGCTTTTACAACAGAATAGTGAAAACTCTAGCTGCTGCTTCCCAAAAGCTTATGCCAAAGGGCCATTGCCAGTATAGATTTCAGCACAAGCCACTCATTTCCCAAAGTGTTGCTAGATCAATTCTTTTGTGTTTTTCTTTTTTTTGGGTGTGTGTGTGTGTTTTATTTTCTCCCTCTCAAAACCAGTAGTGGCAAAAGTGAATCTAAGTGCTGCAGCACACACTGACCTTCCCAGAACAGAGAGTCCCTGTGCAAAAGTCTCACACACATCTCTTCCCGTTATTTATAGATGCAACCTGACTTATTTCCTCTCACCTCCGAATTTGAGGAAATCCCATTTTAGAACAGTAATCCACAGGAGGGAAGGAGGTGAAAAGGAGCAGCTCACCTCCTGTAAGCAGCAAGGGAAACAGCATGAAGAACATCTGAGGGGTCTCTGCAAGTTTATCACCTCGCGGCCCAGGTTGTCAAGAATGTGGATGTTGAAAGGTCGCGACGGTCCACAACAGTTCCTGGTACAGAAGTCGGTGTCCTCTGCTGCGAAGTAAACTCTTTGCCCCAACGTATTCTTGATTTCATATTTGTTGTTTGTTTCAAAGCCAGTAATAACTGAAAATTAGTAATAGAAGGGTTAATTTATGATGTCTGTCTGTGCAAAAAAAGGGACAAAAAACAATATTAATTCCAGAGCTAATATAATGAAGCCAGACCTCTTCCTGAAAGCCTGTCAGAGACAGATAACAAAAAAGGAAGCCAACATGAGCCTGGCAATACGGGGAGAGCACAGAGATGTCCCACCACCCACCAGACCTTCAAACCATCTGCCACTGCAAGCAAAACGGTTATGAGTAACACAGCTCACAAGATCCCCGGGAAGAGTGACAGATGAGATTTAAAGAAACTGTTAAGTTTTATGGTGAAGAAAAGGACTGCAGAGGGCATAGATATGTTCGGTATCAGAAGACCAGAAAAACATAGGAGTCAAGACACACAGCAATAAAAATGGAAAGCAACAAAAGGCAAGGTGCTAATTTTAATTAATTTCTCTCACAAATATTGCAGGCATTATAGAAAGGAAATACAACAGAGTTAGGTGTTAGTTGAGAATTTTTTTTTGTTTTTTGCCCTTTTTTTTTTTTTTGCAAAAATACTCATAACATGACTTAGACATTCTTAAAGTGAGCAGAATGAGGGTGCAAAAGGAAAGTGGTTCAAGTTCAAACAGCAAGACTGCCTGGATAAAGGATAAGAACCACATGCAAATCTATGGAAACACATGAAATAAGACAGGACAGAAAAGATAATCTTCAAATAGAAAGACAGACATGTAGAGGTTATATTAATTAATAACACAGGAGACATTACTTCAACATTGGCAAAGACCATGTGTCTTAAGAGATGGAACAAGCTTAAAATCATCTTCTACCATTTTCTCCTTCTTTCCATTCCTCCACAAGTTTCTAAGGGGATTGGGACAGAAAAGGAGGGCAGGAAAGAGAAGTGGATATCCATAAAGAGTTTTGCCTTTAATAAGCAATGTCAGAGGAAGCCTAAACATTACAGTGCTCGTGATTGCCAGATTTAAACATTTCCCCCTATAAACACTTTTCACTTACTCTCAAGAAGTTCAATCTGCTGATGAATTAATATCTGGTCAATCTGGTTGAAACACAAAGCAAAATTAATAGTTAATGAGTTATAAATAAGAAAAATCTGGCTTTAAGCAGCATTGCATTTTTTCCATTGTAAAATGTAATTTTAAGAATCAGCATATTCTGCAGAGGCTAAATCATCTACTAGCAAATCTAGGAAAGGGGCTAAAATTCCTCCATCCTTTAGAAGTCCTATGCTGTCCATTTATCAGCAGAGTATTTCAGGACACTAAAACAGAAGGCAAAAGCCATACCCGTGGTGGGCTTGCTAAAAGACACAGGGCTTATTGCCATGGTGCTCCCAACATCTATGAAGCCTCTCCAAAACACTTACGGAGAGCATCATGGAGAAAACTGAGCACCTGTAATGTGCTGCAGGTGCCCTTTTATTTGTTTATTTTTCAGATGCATACATATTATATGCAGCTTGCCAAACCACACTCCATCTCACATATAGCAGCTTTACAACACAGTAAAGAGGTTTAATGCACGGTGCCCACAGCCGCTATCTAGGACCCCACTTGGCAAAATACTCCGTCAAGTGGTGTTATCTTAACAAGCATTTGCATGCTCAAACTGCATTAACAGCACAAAAACAGGCCCCAAAGCAGTGACATTACTCAGCCGTAACACCACCACAGGCGGGTTTTGGCTTTTTCCAGCTGGGCCGCAGGTACCTGGGTCAGGTATTCCAGGCCGGGAGGGCAGTAGAGAGGAGGAGGAGGCGCAGGCATCCACATTACCCCCTCATTCCCAGGGGGCTGGTTCTGCATGGGGGGCACTGCCAGGCCGGCCGGCATTCCCGTGGTGTAGTACCCCGCTCCCGGAGGACCTGCGTTGTCAGGAGAGAAGCAGTTAGGCGACTGGGAGCTCCAAATTGCACCAAAGACCTTCATCGGATTCATTTGTTTGCGCTTTTGAATTATGAAGATCCTTGTATCTACAGTGTATTTCAGTTACAAACACCCCAGATTTCCTAAAGGACAGGACTGCAACATTCTCCTAATCCCCCCAGAGTAAAGCAAATGAGATCAATGTGCCATTCTTGCATGTAGCAGAAATGCCATGCAGACAAAGAAGGGCAATTCAAAAGTTAAACACAAAGGTGTTCAAAACAAAGTGACAATTATTTCAAAGTTGGGATGACCAAATACCTTTAAACATGAAAAAAAGTGGTAGCACTTGCAGTTACACAGCTAATCAAAACAGGAAAACTGTCTTAAAATTTCTTTATTTACAAGGAAATGTCCTTTTAGCAAAGTTATTTTGCAGCTTTCATATCCCATGAGTTTGGTTTATGAACCGTGCTTGCCCATTGCTTTAATGGGCTTTCTTTCAACGCTCTGGAAACCTGCAATTCCTGTATGGCAATGCACAGGAAAGAAACTGTTCCACAATTTATGAAGTAAGTCACCTCCATGTTTTTTTCGTGTGCCAGTTATTCCACAGGAAATAACAAGTTCTTGAGAAGTACTTCAGCACCTAACTGCCACTAGAGGGGGGCACAGGACCAAGCAGGGATGTGCCTGCTGCTTGGCCAGAGCAAGGTCCTCCAGCAACACTGCTTTTATTACAGAGACACCCTATGATCTTTAGGCACTTTATGACAAATTGCAAAAACAGCAAATGAGAGTTCAAAGACACAAACTATGATATTAATTGCCTTCATGGTAGGTAAACTGGACCTCTAATGTGATGCACAGAAATTCTGTATTTTATACTCAGAAGCAAGCAAGATAGAGAAGCAACAAGGAGTATTTTTGTGGAGTTCTTTGCACGAGGACAAAGAGTTGAAGAGATGCTGACCTGCAGACTTAGCTGATGCCAGGCAACTCTTGTCAAACATTCAGCAGGCTTTCATAAATTACATTTAAACTAAAACATTTAAACTAAAAAGTAAATTTAAAAAGTAAAACTAGTACTGCCTGAGCATCTCTAAGGGACTTTGATATTAAAAGATGACATTTGGTCAATATTTTACTCACCTTGCATTTCTGTGAATCTGCTTATAATCACTCTGTAAAACAACATTTTAATTCATGCTTTTAGTATACATAATTTAACAAAAAAGTCATTCACAGTTCTCTGTTTACTGATAGTGAAAGAGAACTATCTAAATTGCATGGGGCAGCTGGACTGTAAATAAAAGCTAAAATAACCATCTCAGCTTCCAAACTACCTCTCTACCACAAAATAAACCTGAACTCTACCTGCATCCATGCTTTGGGTACATAGAATCATCCTCAAGTCAGGAGAAAGCATAAGTCAATCCTGGAGCAGTAGAGACACCATGCTGCTCCCTATTCCCTCTTTATGATATTCCACTTTTGAAGCAGTACTAGTAAGTGCCTCTCTTGCACTTTTTGTTTACACAAAATAATAAAACTGTGGGCTTTCAGAGTGTCAATCCCATGAAAAAAAATGCTCACCACTTGTCTTTTTTTTTCCTACTCTTCCAGGATTTCCAAAAGGAGTTTAAAAAAGGCAGAAAGAACTTTTATTGATGCCAGTACCAACTCTGAGGCATATTGCTTTTAGTCTTTGGGATTATTAGATAAACAAGGCAGTGGTAATGACATTTCCTAAAGAAAGAGGTCCAAAATAGTTCAGAGATCCATAAGCAGCAGTATTAAAAAGAAGAGTAAAGGAACTCTTTACAGAATCAAAAGTTTTAAAATAATTAACTGATTCATTCTTTAAAAAGAAGATAGCTAAGTTTCAGGAAAACTTACAAAGGCTTCAGAAATTCAATGGGTACTCAATTAGAAAATAACTACTTGCTGTAAAAGTTTTGGAGATTTCCAATTATTGAATTTGTGCAAGTCTTTGGCTAAACTCCTAAATAGTATATATGAATCGTTAGCCATCTATCAACCGCAGAAACTAATGATATATTTTGTCTGTTATGCTGCTCACAACTAGTTCTGTTCAGCAATGATGTTCATTTAAAACTGAGAAATAAATTGAAACTGAAAACAGTTCCTTCCTGCTTTTCACTCTGTGAATGAAAATTAATATCAAATCAGGATGTTTAATGGTTCTGTAATGATATGGCATCCATTTTGGTTTCTATCATGTAAACAACATCCTCTTTTGTTAATAAACTGATTTTAAAGCAATCTATATATATAATATATATATATATATGCACATACACACACACACATATAGTTTTTATTTCTGCCCAAGCATACTTTATTTACAAAGATACCATGCTGTTCTATGTATTTTAGTTGGATTCTGATCCCCAGAATAGTACAGGTTGAAAAACAAAAGTAATGGGAAATAATTTAAGATCATACATCTAATTCAAAAAGGAAGAAAATCTGAATGAGGACATTCAGACTACTTAATTTAAGCATTCTCACAGAAGACAATATAGAATGACAAGTTTAATATGGGACCATATTAAAATAAGTTTACAAAGCAGTTAGCAGGAACAAAAGAAATTTTGGGTGATTAAAAAAAACAGTTATTGAAACTAGCAAAACATCATTTTGTCAGTTTACACCAAGAAGTTCCACTTACTAGCACTCCAGTGAAATACAAAGAATCACAGCTGCACCCTTCAGGAAACCTGGGAAAGTAGAGACAGAAATAAATTGCCTCATTTCCTTAAGAGAAAGGCTTTACAGTAGCCCTGAATCATCACCCCTCTCCCACAACCATGCAGAACCACAAGTATTTGCCTCTACTCTCTTCCCTTATCGACTCTGGTTGCCTCCAGTTCAGTTACCAGAAGTACTGCTACCAATAACCACCTCCCTTTCTTGCACAATACAAGAAAACTCTGGAGAGTCCAAAGGAGGAGGAGCGAAAGCTCCTTCATTCAGCCATTGCATCATGGAGTCAACGTTGGGCTATTGCACTTTCATTCAGCTGTTGTGTCATGGAGTCAACGTTGGGCTATTGCACAACAGGAAGTTTCCACTCGTGTAACCTATAGTGAAGAAGGGACAAGCAGCCAGCCTGTTCTCTTTAGAAATGTCCTGATTCCAACTGCCACAGCTACGCAGAGCAATGCAAGACCAGTAACTTGAAATCTACATTTTCACCTCACAGAGTTCAGTAAGAACAGACTTGACAAACCGCTAGGTCTTGTTATTTCTAGTAGCAGCTTTTTATAAGCACGAGGCACATCTCAGCCCTGCTGGAGAGTGCATGGACAGGCCAGGAAAGGGGAGAGCAGAGTCCCCTGGTGCTGACCCACCTGGGATCAGCACCAGGATCAGCAGGTGCTTTGCAGTAGGGCTACACATATATCTGCCCCTAGCCCTGAATCCACTCTCTTGAAGACAGTACAGGCAAGAGTTATCAACTGGTTGTGCGTTGCAGAAAGGGGCCTACCTAGAAGCAGCCAGTGCAGACAAAAGCAGAAGTGATTTTACCAGCAAGAAGGAAGCACTGAGGGCATTTGGGATGGTTGATGCAAAGCAGCTGTTTGTTAACTACAATTATTAAATAAAGCCTCTGAACCTTTGCAGGCCTCCCTGTTTCCTGCAGCAAGCCAACAAAACAAGCCTGGGAAAGGCAGAAACTTTCCGCCTATTCTGGGCAGATATCTGCAAAACATGAATATAACCCTGCAGTGCCTTCCAAACTCAGTTACCACAATACAGAAAGGAAATCAAAAGCTAAAGAAACCACACATGCTCAAGACCGGCTGTGGGTTAGCAAGCCGATGTGAACCTGAGACCCCCATGCTTCATTTATAGCAGTGGTCACAGGAAAACGGACTAAAATCGAGAAGCTGCATTCTTCATACACTTCTGGTGATATGGCTCATATCACTCTTGCTTCCTCCTCACCCATAAGGGTTCCTAATCTCCGCTCTTTGCGCTCCTTCCGCAGCCTGAAGCCTTCCAGCCCGTGCTGGCACAGCGGCTGCTTCACTGCAGAACATCACTGGGGACAACAGGAAGGACCCTCTCCCCGCTCCAGCCAGGGTTTAGCCCCAGCACCTGGAAACAGCCAAAAACTCTTGGAAAGGAAGCAGAGGAAATACCAGCCCTAGAGGCAATCATTAAACAGTTGCAGTTCACAGAAGAGCAAGGAAATAACATTTCTAAACTTCTGCCTCCCCGCCCCCCGCTTTTCTTTTTCCCCCCCTTGCTGACAAACAGTTTCATTTCCCATGCAAGTCCCTGAAACGCAACCAAGAACGGGCTGGCGTAATCGGCACAAGCACAAGCATCCTGTACAGGGTTATCTAAATGCCAGCACATGCCACTTCCAAGAAGCGGTTTCTGGTTTGGAAAACAGACTTGGAAAGCCAAACAGTTGTAAGGCACTTACAGGTCCAGATTTTGCTCCTACATGTTGGGGAAACCTCATATTGGAGAGAAAAAAAAAAAAAAAGACTTAAGCTGGTCTAACTGGTACTTGCTGCTAACAGTTTTCCAAGGAAGAAGGAACAGAACTGTAGGTGGATGTAATCGTTTTGCTTTGATGCAGTGTGACCGCTCCTCAGCCCCCAAGGCCACCTCTCCTGAGACTTGAAGCCCCAACACCTGAAAACAGGAAAACCCAAACGAAAGCAAGCCAGGATGTGGGAGCGCATCCTCCCAGCAGCAAGGACACCGCTGGTGCCACTGCCGCTGCACTTGCTGCAGACTGGCACGGCTCGAAGTGCAGCCTGCGTGCTCCAAAACCAAGAGTTACATTGGCACCATAACAAGCAACTGTTGCCAAGGGGGTGCGTTTTTAACTCCCCCTTCGCCACCGCTGACTGAAA